GTAGACTTGCTGGAGCAAAGGGTAAACGCATGTGAAGTTTTACTAAATATTCCAAATCTCCCTCCAAGGAGCTGTGAATCCCAGCTGTGATTCCTACTTGAACAGTGCCCACTCTGGGTGTCTGCCAGCCTAAAGGCCAGAAATGTCTTGGGCCCAGGTGAGGTGGCTCATGCCTATAGTCCTAGCATTCTGGGAGGCCGAGGCAAGTAGGACTGCCTGACCTCACAGGTTCCAGACCAGCCTGAGCCAGAGCAAGACCTCATCTTTAAAAATACCCAGGCATTGTGGCAAGTGCCTATTGTCCCAGCTACTTAGGAGGCTGAGGCAATAGAATTGCTTAAGCCCAAGAGCTTGAGGTTGCTGTGAGCTATGACACTACAGCACTCTACCAAGGATGACAAAGTGAGACTATGTCTTAAAAAAAAAAAAAAAAAAAGTCTTGACTCAGCACCCATGGTTGTGGCGCCAGCCACATACAGCAAGGTTGACGGGTTCAAACCTAGCCTGGGCCAGTAACCAACAACTGGAATAAAAAAATAGCTGGGTGTTGTAGCGGGGGCCTGTAGTCTCAGGTACTTGGGAGACTGAGGCAAGAGAATCACTTATGCCCAAAAGTTTGAGGTTGCTGTGAGCTGTGACATCACAGCACTCTATCCAGGTGACAGCTTGAGAATCTGTCTCAAAAAAAAAAAAAAAGTCTTGGTGAAGTTCCAATATACAGGGTTCTTCTATTTTTTTTTTTTTTTTTTTTGAGACAGCATCTCAAGCTATCACCCTGGGAAAAGTGTCATGGCGTCACATCTCACAGCAACCTCAAACTTTTGGGCATAAGTGATTCTCTTGCCTCAGTCTCCCAAGTGGCTGGGACTCCAGGCACCCGCCATAACTCCTGACTATTTTTTTTGTTGCAGTTGCCATTGTTATTTTAGCTGGTCTGAGCTGGGTTTAAACTCGCCAGTCTCACTGTATGTGGCCAACACCCTACCCAATGAGCTACAGGTGCTACCCCATACAGGGTTCTTTTATTAGGAAGACTGAGCATCATGCATACCTTGGCTGGGAACCATTTGCATTACTTATTCTGAGAAGCATCTGTTTTCCCACAGTCATACCCATTTTTGATCCTTAACGGCCAGCACAAGGCCAAACTCCTTGTACATGAGCATCAGATACCTGCTGAACAAATAGAACTCAGAAGGCAAAATTTATTGGCAGACATCATGTCCATGAATCTAAGCAGGCAGAGACTGTACAGAATAAGAGTGCACAAGTCAGGTGTTGTGTATGGATTATCCAGGAGCCTCAGGAATGGGAGTCAGCCCTCCTCCAGCCCTCCTAGGTGACCACTAGGTCCTGGGTAGCAGGAATGGGAAGACCTCAGGAGACCACAGGCCATAGCCTCAGCTGAAATTCGAAAGTGTGGACTAGTGCTGGGCGGGACAAACCCAAGAGTAGGGCAAATTTGCGTTTTATGGAGAAAATCAGTACCAATCATTGTACTGGGCTGACTTACAAGCCACAACAAAAAGTGCACAAGCTGACAAATTTATAAGTCTTGAAGAAGCTACTCAAGGTAGCTTCTGCCTATTTGACCACAGAACATCTCGTGCCCTGTCTGTTTACAAACTGCACTTTCCCATCAGGTCTCTTCGTGTACTGGGCAGGGAGAAGACGGGCCCAAAGGAAAACTTGGATGGCCTCTGGGAAACCCCTTTCTGATCTCCCAAAACTGACTGCTTATAACAGCTTATAATAGCTTATAATGCTATAGCTGTGTCTTCTCCACTGGCTGGTGACAAGGTAGAGGAAGATAACCTCCAGTCATTCATTCAATGATACATACTGCCCAGATCAGATGCTTCTGAGTTAAGAACAGGCCACACAGAGGCAGGGCACCCAGCCTGGGACCTGGGAGAACCCTTAGCTACCGCCACTATCCTGGTCTGCACAACTGATGACCATTCCCCGTCTCCTCATCCTCACAAATAGTACAAGAGCTGCATAGTTGTAGGGACTCCCCCTGGTTCTCTGTTTATCCCTGACACCCATAAGCGGTAGTGATGGTATTCTGGCACCAGCAGTAGGTAAAGAGCACTGCTAACACTGATAATCCACAAGCATCTCTAGGAAACTGTCACAAAATAAGTATGACCTTGTCTCCAAAAAGCTCCTGGAGCCCCCTGCAGGGTTAGGGGAAGTAAAATTATGAAGGAGCCATAGATAGAAGTCTGGTTGTTCCTTTAAAAATTTTTCTTTTTTTGAGACAGAGCCTCAAGCTGTCCCCCTGAGTAGAGTGCCATGGCATCACAGCTCACGGCAACCTCCAACTCCTGGGCTCAAGCTAGTCTCCTGCCTCCGCCTCCCAAGAAGCTGGGATGACAGGCACCCACCAGAATGCCTATTTTTTATTTGCAGCCGTCACTGTTGTTTGGTGGCCCCGGGCTGGATTCAAACCCGCCAGCTCAGGTGTATGTGGCTGGCACCCTAGCGGCTTGAACCACAGGTGCCAAGCCCCTAAAAAAATTTTGACAGAGTTTACCACATGATCCAGCAATTACACTCCTAGGTATGTACCTAAAAAAATGAAATATGGGTATTCAGGCTCGGCACCTGTAGCTCAACCGGCTACGGCGCCAGCCACGTACAGCTAAGGTGGCCAGTTCGAATCCCCAGCCCGGACCCGCCAAACAACAATGATGGCTGCAACCAAAAAATAGCCGGGCGTTGTGGCGGGTGCCTGTGGTCCCAGCTACTTGGGAGGCGGAGGCAGGAGACTCGCTTGAGCCCAGGAGTTGGAGGTTGCTGTGAGCTGAAATGCCACGGCACTCTACCCAGGGGGATAGCTTGAGGCTCTGTCTCAAAAAAAAAGAAAGAAATATGGGTATTCAACTTGTGTATGAATGTGAAAAGCAACATTATTCATAATAACCCCAAAGCAGAAACAAATGAAATGTCCCTATTTATACAATCTACACAATGAAATATTACTCAGCCATAGAAATGAATGAAACACAGACATGGACTACAACACAAATGAACTTCAAAAAAACAGTGCTAAGTGAAAGAAGCCAGACACAAAGGGTTACATAGTGTAGAACTCCAGAAAAGTCCAGGCAAAGCAGATCACTGGTCATCAGGGGTGGGAAGTGACTACCAATGGGTACAGTGTTTCATTTTAGGGTGAAGAAAACGTTCTGAAATTAAATAATGGTACAAGTGCATAACTCTAGGATATATTAAAATACACTGAATTGTATACTTTAAATGGGTGAATTGTTTGGTATACAAATTGTCTCAATTTAATTGGGGGGAAAAAAGCTTTTTTAAGCACCCAGGAAGTTTGATTTTGTCAGTAAGATATTCTAGAATGTTTTCCTGATATCAGAATCCCTTGACCGGCTCAGTGCTTGTGGCTCAAGTGGCTAAGGCACCAGCCACATACACCTAAGGTGGCAGGTTCAAATCCAACCCGGGCCCACCAAACAACAATGACACCTGCAACCAAAAAAAAAAAAAAAAAAAACCCAGGCGTTGTGGAGGGCGCCTGTGGTCCCAGCTACTTGGGAGGCTGAAGCAGGAGACTTGCTTGAGCCCAGGAGCTGGAGGTTGCTATGAGCTTTGATGCCACGGCACTCTACCCAGGGGGACAGCTTGAGGCTCTGTTTCAAAAAAAAAAAAAAAAAAGAATCCCGTGACCATACCCACATTTTCTTCCAATACTCAGTACAGTGGGCAGGTCAGAGCAGCCAAATCTCATACTGTGCAGTCAACAAGATGTGTTAAGATGGGGGATACATCCTTTAGCAAGACAACTGCCAACTCTAGGCTACAGGAAGCAACTGACCCAGGAGGTATCCAAACTGCCACCAAGTTCTAAGACATCTCTCACTTCTACGTTCTTTTCCAGGGCCAAAATGTTGGCCAGGCCCTGATGGTAGCACAGAAAATCCACAAAAGCATCAGGCAAATGCCCTGCTGGGTTCCACAGTCTCCATGTAAGAACTCTACACAGGGAGAGCCGGTTCAGCCTCCCCATGAGGCACAGGGCAGAGTAAGAACAACTAGCTCCAAGCACCACTGTGGTGCCCTGCACTGTGTGATTAAGGAAAAATTCTAACTGTGTAGGTCAGTGTTGAGAAATTATGTGAACAGCCAGAGGGCAAAGGCCACCTGGCCAGGATTATCCTCTGCCTCTGAGCCTCACAGTGGACAGGCTCATCCTATTTACTTATTTATTTGGAGACAGAGTCTCATTATGTCACCCTTAGTAGAATGCCGTGGCATCACAGCTCACAGCAACCTCAAATTCTTGGGCTTAAGGGATTCTCTTGCCTCAGCCTCCCAAGTAGCTGCTGGGCCTGGCTATTTTTTTTGGTTGCAGTTGTCATTATTGTTTAGCAGGTCCAAGGTAGGCTCAAACCCATCAGCCTCAGTATATATGGCTGGTGCCCCCCTCACTGAGCTACAGGCACCAAGCCAGGGCTGGGCTTGTCAATGTGTGATCAATAAAAATGATTTCTTTGGCCCAGTGCCCGTAGGGCCCCATCGACATACACCAGGGGTAGCAAGTTTGAACCTGGTGCGGGCCGCTAAATAACAATGACAACTGTAACAAAAAAATGGCCAGGTGTTACGGCAGGGGTCTGTAGTAGTCCCAGCTACTTGGGAGGCTGAGGCAAAACAATCACTTAAGACCAAGAGTTTGAGGTTGCTATGAGCTGTGACACTACAGCACTCTACTGAGGGTGACATAGTAAGACTCTGTCTCAAAAAAAAGAAAAATGATTTCTTTACCCCTGAAACTCTAGGGCAGCCCTACAGAGATGACATGGCCTGTAATCCCAGGGTGACCCAGCTCCCTCTTCTCTAGGAGGTGGCTATCAACTTCTGAAGTAGTGCTTGGTTGGAAATGTCCAGTTTAAAGTATCCAAGGAGCTGACTGAAGCCCAATGAACAAGTCAGAGCCTTCATTCCACAGCTACCAGATCCCAAGCACTCACCTGGCTTTGGGGTATAGGATGCTGGTCCTACCAGTTGGCCATGGCTGCAGCAATGTCAAGAGGCAACTTTCATCAATGTGCTGACCAACCTAATGTGAAGGACAGAAACAAATGAGAGTTTCCAAGGAAGGTTCCTAGAACATACTGGCAGTTTTAAATGTCTCTAACACCTGTAATTACACAGCAAAATTTTATTTATTTTTTTGAGACAGAGCCTCAAGCTGTCACCCTGGGTAGAGTACTGTGACATCACAGCTCACAGCAACCTCCAACTCCTGGGCTCAATCAAGTCTTCTGCCTCTGCCTCCCAAGTAGCTGGGACTACAGGCACTCACCAAAACGCCTGGCTACTTTTTGGTTGCAGCCATCATTGTTGTTTGGTGGGCCCGGGCTAGATTCGAACTGGCCAGCTCAGGTGTATGTGGCTGGCACCTTAGCTGCTTAAGCCACAGGCAGCCGCTTGAGCCACAGGCGCTGAGCCCACAGCAAAATTTTAGATTTCCACCAGAGCTTTGTGCCTCTGCTACCTTCCACCATGGGGAGCAAGTGGAGAAAATAAATTTCTATCAATCGAGCAGTACCTGTGGCTCAGTGAGTATAATGGGTGCTGGACCCATTATACCAAGAGTGGTGGGTTCAAACCCAGCCCTGGCCAAACTGCAACAAAAAATAGCTGGGCGTTGTGGCAGGCACCTGTAGTCCCAGCTATTTGGGAGGTTGAGGCAAGAGAATCACCTAACCCCAGGAGTTAGAAGTTGCTATGAGCTGTGGTGACACCTCGGCACTCTACCAAGGGCGATAAAGTGAGATTCTGTCTCTATCAAAAAAAAAAAAAAA